CTCCATTTAAAACTTGCAAATTTTAGTAACTTACTCTTATTATTGAAGAATGCCTTATGACAAAAACATTTTTTGAAAATGTCATTATTTTGTTTCACTCTGTTCAATCGGGAAAATATTCAGCTTTAAAATACTTATCAAATGATACACTGAAAAAAATAAGCTGTTGAAACAACAAAAAAAATATTAATTCAACTCTTTATGCACTTTAAATACAAGCAATGGGTTTTGCACGTTTATTTAACCATCTAAAAATGTCAAATTGTATTGTTTAATTGAACAACAAAAATTAGTTAAATGAACAAAATGAGAATATTTGTTCTAATCTGCTAATCTGGTTCTTGATATGTCGGAGTAATATTTCGAAAATCATTGTGCTAACATTTTTAAGATGTTAAGGTATTTTCTTGAAATGTCCAGGTCACCTTTTTAGCATATTCACTTAACACCAATAAAACGTTAATATAATATATATTAATATATAATTTGCGCTAATGTTGGGTAAATTAAATTATGGAATTAATATAAAGAGAAAAAATTCCCTCGCCAGAGTTTCTATTTTGAGTGCATTCCACCTACTTCAAATACCTACCGACAGACTGATTTGACCTATATTGGGGTCTTATCAGTCACTGATAATCAGTGTCGGGCAATTTGGTGTAGTGGAAGTTCCACTGTGGAACACACCGAAAACAAACGGCTACCTGAGCTTATATACTCCTATCGTAAGCCAACTGAGGCGAGATGTAAGAACATCACATGATCAACACCGTCTAATGACGTAAAATAACATTTACAATTTGTTAAATAAACAAATTTAATGTTTTGGATTTAAAGAGCAACTAAACGTTAATTTAATAGTTTTTTTAGGTAATCCTAAAAATTTCAGTATTTGATTCAACCAATTCCAGCTATTAAAGCTATTAAACCAAAATTTTAATTCAAAAAATTAGTTTATGTTAAATCAATATTTTAACTGTCAAATGAAAACTTTGACCAACTCTGACTATTGCTTTGACACCAAAATATAGATTAATCCAATAGGTTTTTTGATGAAACAACATTTTCAAAAATGACATTTAGGCAAACGTTAACTCAATGTAGTTTTTTTTTAATTCCTAAATGTCAAGAAGTGTAACCTAAGTTTGGGTTTAAAATACTAGAATTTCAAATTTTTAAAATAAAATTGTTAAACGGTGAAAATTGTACTCATAAAATACGATATTTTTTGTTTTAATTTCAGACAGAATAAGTACTTGGTTATGATCAGCTTGCAAACACCTTTTCATTGATGTGTCACTTGATATAAACCTTATATATGTACTTTGTGATCTTTTAAATATAAGTTGTGGCTTTATGGCCTTTAAGTCACGGGCTAAAGTTGGCAAAAGTGGCTTTTTAGTCTCTGAATGAAGTAAGCTTTAAGTTAGTTGTCAAATCTCATACAATCGTCAAGATAAAAAAGCACTTTATGGGCTCTTGTGAAATAATACTAAAATGTGGAAGTTAACTTAATTAGAACATCCTCTTGACTTTTACTGTAAAAAACTGATTCTATATCAGATTTAAATGAATGTTATATTAGTCTATTTTTAATATCTGCATTTTTTCATGATAATAAAGTGTTTGTTTAGATATGGGTCAGAATTTATCAAACGGGCCACCTGAATTAGGTCAAAATTAGTTTTTGATTGTAGATACATTTTTTCGATAGTATTTTACATCACTAACACAAATCCTAAAGGATTTTGTAAAAAAAAAAATTTCAATTGACATATTCATGATATTAAAAGTAAAAGTTTTTAGTAATTAAAAAATAAAAAAAATCATTATGGCTAAACTAATTATCCGATTCCAACGATTTAACTAGCGTTGGAATCTTGTTTTGACATAGATTCTTTGTTATTTTTTTCAATTGTACAATTTTCATTTAGGTCGATTTTTTTTTGTTTTTTTTATAACAAATTCGGAAATAATTGGCTTCTGCGCCAGCTATCGACTCGAAAAAAAAAAACACATATACTCCAATCATTTTTCGAAATTATGCTGCTGAGAAAAAAAATGGCCCGCAGGTTCCAGACCACCGTAAGACGTCGCGTCACAAGCGCGTACAGCGTACACGGTTCGGAGCGTGAGCTGACACCGCGCGCGGCCACAAAAGGACGAATAACTTTTTGTCAACCTGCGGGCCATTTTTTTTCTCAGCAGCATAATGTCGAGAAATGATTGGAGTATATGTGTTTTTTTTCTCGAGTCGATAGCTGGCGCAGAAGGCAATTATTTCCGAATTTGGTATAAAAAAAACAAAAAAAAATCGACCTAAATGAAAATAGGACAATTGAAAAAAATAACAAAGAATCTATGTCAAAACAAGATTCCAACGCTAGTTATATCGTTGGAATCGGATAATTAGTTCAGCCATAATGAATTTTTTTATTTTTTAATTATTAAAAACTTTGACTTTTAATATCATGAATATGTCAATTGAAAATTTTTTTTTTACAAAATCCTTTAGGATTTGTGTTAGTGATGTAAAATACTATCAAAAAAATGTATCTACAAACAAAAATTAATTTTGACCTAATTCAGGTGGCCCGTTTGAGAAATTCTGACCCATATATTAAGATACGATATATAATATACAAAAATAGTATAAAAAATAAGATATTTAACTCAAACAAAATGTCAATAAAACCTTTTATAACGTCATGAATGGCGTAACGGGCGCGACATTGGAAAATGTAACCAAAGTTAATCCTGTAAAATTTTGGATAAAAGCATATAGGTAGTAATAATTTTTTGTGTAAAACTTGAATAGTAACCTCAAACAAGCAAGTATTTTAAATGGACAAAATATATATATATATATATACTTTATAATTTTCTCAAAATGTAACTGGGGCGACCTTGTCTTAGGGTGCGACATTTCAACTTTTTATCGAGTATTAAAACTCTTCCCTGTTTATTCTTAAAGTTATCTTCGTAGTACGAATATTTTAAAGTTATAAATTAGGTCACAATTAAACTATTTGACTTCAGATATAGTTTTTGTTTTGTTATAAATGCTGATTTAAATTAAATTTCCACATTACAGTCTAAAATATTTTTGAAACGTCACAATATAGAAACATACATTTTTAATAATTGTGACGTTATATGTAGGTATTTTCATAAAAACGATTTTTAATATTTTTTTAAAACATTTTTTAAGACCTGCGAAAGTAATAAAAATGGATATTATTAATATGTGGATTTTTTTATTAATCAAAAATATTTTGAACAATTACTGGTACATACCTATATTTTGGATTAATTTTTTTATTTAAAACAAATATGCCCATTTAACCTTTCTGTTTATTTTCATAAATTCAAGTGTAATTTTTTTTCTATTGAAAATTCCCAGTTCAAACAATAAATGCAGAAAATATTTTTATTGTTCTTAATATAATAGACAATATTTTATATTTTTCATAATTTTCCTTGACATACCAAATTTTATATGAAATCGTTTCTGAAAATTATCAAATGATGACTTTTTATTTTCTTCCATTCCATATTGTCCATCTCACTCAATAATATTTCATAAAACCCTTATAGAATCTTATAGAATTAAAGAAGTATTGAATTTAAAAGTTTATTATATTTTCTGTGCAAACAAAAAATAAAGGAAAAAAGTGAATTGCAAGGATAACAGTTTAACAACGCACTTATTGATTTTTCTCTTTGGGACCATAAGAAATTTTAATGAAAAATCTTTTATTATATATTATATATATATATATATATATATATATATATATATATATATATATATTTATATATATATACATATATTATATATATATATATATATATAATAAAAGGCATAGTTTCTCTGCTCTATAAGTGTACAAGTTTTCAAAAGGTAATAACAATTAGGAATAAGTTATAAGTGATAAGCAAATTGAAACGTGTCTACATTTTTTAATACCTTGATTCTTGTACTAAAGTATACAACAAAATAAATGAAACAAATAATATTACAATATATCATATTATGTCATAAACGAAAAATAAATAGAAATAGGTATATGCATATATTCTGTAGTAAAATATATTTTTTTAATGTATACATTGGTATTTTTTGTGATACTTTACCTACATATAATAAGTAGTAGGTTACCTACTGTATACCTCTTAAATTATAATTATAATAGTAGTAGGTAATCAAAAATAAACCAACAAATTTAATAAAATAGAATAAAATTTGATTTTGTGCAATTTTGTCCGTTTTTGTCCAATTTTGACCACTTCATGGACGAAATCAAAAAAAGTGGACAGAATCACAACCCTGTATTAATTAATAGAAAAAAATTAGATTTTGTCCAATTTTGTCCGTTTTTGTCCAATTTTGACGTCATGGACGAAATCAAAAAAGTGGACAAAATTACAACCCTGTATTAATTCATATTATATTTATTTTCTCAACAGCAATAATTTTAACAAATTTTTCATTCACAAGTAGACAATTTTTGGGAAATTTTATGTTGTCTATTTAATTAAATGCTATTTTTACAACAGGTCGACGAACCGAACTATAAAATCTAATTCCAATATATATATTTATATTTGTTAGGTTTTTCCGATGTTTTTAGCATCTACTTTCGTAATAAACTGTCTCTATTTTTCAACTATTCTTAGAAAGCGTTTCCACCGAATGACATCAAAATATTATTTAAGTTTTTTGACCTCATATATGCTTTCTAAAACAATATGTTTTAAAATTATTGTTGTAATATTAGTGATTAAGTTATATAGTCTTTTTATAATTTTGTATAAAACATTACATATTATTTTATAATGAAAAGTAAACTTTTCTGTGGACGAAATAATAATTTAAAATTTGTACCCAGAAACTTAATTATTTTGTGTATAAAAAATTAATACTATTAAATGTTTAAACAGAAGAGTTGTTTATAAAATTTGAAAACAAATTTTAAATAATAATTATTTTGTTAAAGGTGGAGACAAATTTGTGTACGCTGCAGAGCTGTTTGACATCAATGATGGGTCGCGAAATTACCATAGAACAACTTCGACAAGATGTTGGGTTAATGATCGAAAAAATAACACATGTAACCCTTATGTTTAGGCAAATTAAATTGACAATGGAAGAATACGTGTGCCTTAAAGTAATAACCATGTTAAATCAAGGTAAGCAATGTTTTAAATTGATTGCATTTATATATGTGAGCAATTTGTATTTTTTTGTAATGTCAAATAAAAAAAGCAATTCATACGTACTGTTTTTGTGACTTATAATGATATTTAGATAAGAACTTTAATTATTAGATACTGTTGGTGAGTAGAATAGAATAATATTAATGTTTACGAGCAATTTTACCCTGAAATAAATTACTTAAAATTAATTAAATAATTTTTAAGGACATTTATTTATATTTTTAAGGACATTTATTTATATATCCTATTTCAAATTATACACAATTTATGTTTTAATTTTAAATAATATTATTTTAATATTATAAATAGGGAATGAGAGTTAAAAGTTTCACTCATTTTCGCTTTTTGATTGAATGTAATACATTTTGTGTAAAGAATACGTAAGATTAATTGCATAATTTTTTAAAATTAAAATTCCAAAGGCATTGATATGTATTCGACTGCCTAATATGTTAGGGACAAGGGCAGGATTTGCTCCTGGGGAGAGGTTATCAAATTTCATAAAAAAAGTATTTTTAAGTTATTTTGTAGTATCTTAAGCAAAATTTCATAAAAAATATATATTTATAGATTATACCAAACACTAACCTTTAAATATATATTTTTTATGAAATTGCTCTTGAGATAAAGAAAAATAACTTAAAAAACATTTTTTTTTCATGAAATTTGAAAACAAATATGTATTTTTCGATTATTTTTCAGTTTTTCAAGTAAACATTGTAGTAAAACCCTCCTGGGGGGGTTTGAACACCCAAACCCTGATTAGGGGCAAGAATTCGCAAAAAAAATTGTTTAAAGATCAGTTGCCGTAAGTTCGGCATTAGCCGACTAGTGAATTTGCAGAAAAATAAGGAGTTCACTTTAGTATCTTTAACAATCTTTAAGCATTTTAGAAAATGCTGATTTTTTTCAAAATCACCGAAATTTAGTTCCCATTAATTGGAATATCGGAAACCTCGGAAAATGGCGACCACGGAATAGTTAAGAAAGAACGAAATTAGTTCCTGATTTTTTTAAATTATTTAATATTCCAATGTCTAAGAGAATTAACTAATCTTTTTTTGTTATTTTAGCAAAACCTGCCAGTAGTTCGGGTAACAGTGAATTGGAGAGTATACACGAACGATATATGACGTGCCTCCGTGTTTATACACAACATATGTATCCGCAACAGACTACACGATTCCAAGACTTACTAGTTAGGTTACCAGAGGTAAGCATTGTATATAACAAAATACATTTAATAGTATATTATGTATCAAGTTTTATAAACACCATTTTAACTAGTTTTATTAAGCACGAGTGAGTGTTTAATAAAAACAAGTGTCTAGAGAAGTTTATAAAGCGAGTTGCATACTATACTTTATCTACAACGAACTTGAAGAATAATTTAAAGATAATTTTATTTATCAACTATTAACTTTAAATGTCAATGTAGGCGTAGATAATATTATATTATGTATTAAGTTTTATAAACGCCATTTTAGTTACGAGTTTTATTAAGCACGAGCGAGTGTTTAATAAAAACAAGTGTCTATAGAAGTTTATAAAACGAGTTGCATACTATTCTTTATCTACGACGAACAGAAATAAGAATTTAAAGCCAATTTTAGTTTCATAAATATTTGACATTTGACAAATTTAACCTCACCGTGACTAAAATGCCCAAAAGCCACTGTTGTTAACTTCAGACCGTGACTAAAACGCCATAAAGTGGCAGCTCTTCAATGTAGGAGTAGATAAAAAAATATTTCCTAATAACCAGCCTTTTAAATTTTTCAATTATTTTCACTTGAATTATTTTGCTATGAAAAAAAGTTTTAAATAAAATAGCATATTTTAGTCGAATTAAACTTTTGTTGTTTTAAACTTATGAAGTTTTCCATGAAGTATACCTTTTTTAGGATTTTAAGATACCCTTTCCCTCCCTGTCTTATATTGTTACAAAGTCTCGACCCCCTCCCCAAGTCCACTCAGATTTTTTCTTAAATTTTATAAAACAATATTTACTTGTTTTACGGTCATATTAAAATATTATAAATTCATAATGAATAAAAAACAAAAAAGTGAAGTTTGAACCATCTAACAGTTGTCATATTTTATGACTATAATGATCTTTACAATTTGGGGAAAGTTGGGTTAGAACCGTCAGACAGATGTCAGATTTTTTAGCGGCGGTAAAAGTAATTAACTGCCATAGCAATTGAGAAATGTCAAAAAAGTTACATTTTACTGAAGATGAATTTTTTAAATAATTTTCTGTTATTTGCCAATACTGTAGCTGGTGTTGAAAAAATTCATAAAAATACAGGGTGGTTTCAGTTAACAAAAAATTGTGTTATTTTGTTTTTTTTTTTATTTTTTTTCATCTTTATACTTTTATAATACGCCAATTGGCGTTTTAAAACCTCTTACAAAAATTATGCATACGCCCCTGAAAAAAAATATACCACCATGACTATTTCGTTAAAATATGGATCATATTCAATGATGTTACAATGAAGTTTTCCCTAATAGTTATTTTAATTTTTTTAAATTTTGAAAATATTTTGTAACTTTCTATAAAAGGCTAATTTTAGAAATATTGTCTGAACTCTAATAAATACATATTATTTTTAAGTATATATTTTTTAATACTATAGTATTATACTATTATATTATTATTATTATCAATAATATTATTAGAGAATTATATTACCTTTATAGGTAATTATAATTATTCTTTCATTATTTTCTATATTTACCATAATTTTCTAGAATTAATATAAAAAAAGTTTGTGTGAAGTTATCCACACATTTCCAGCCACACATTCCTAGACTTGCGTTTGTTAACTTTTGCCCTATTATCACGAAATTCTTTGCCTGCAGGCAAGAGCATGCTCTTAAAAACTTCTATCCATACGAACAATATACCTACAGGTAATTTATAAATTTTAATTAAATACCCAAACTTTAACAATTCACTGTACCCACCCCAAAAGATGTTTAATAAAAACGAGTGTCTAGACAAGTTACAAAACGAGTTGTATACTATACTTTATCTACGACGAACAGGAATAAGAATTTCAAGCCAATTTTAGTTGTTAAATAATTAACATCTGTACTTAAAGATATACATATTTAAAATAAAAACAAAAAACTTAAAAAAAACATTGTTAGGGCCTATTATATTGTTTATTTACCCACCATAGTTTGTTTATTTGTAACATTTATGGCATATCTCTTTAAACAATAGTTCTATTCACATAAGTAAATAAACTTAAGAGAATTTATAATTCATTACTGACTCATTCGTGCCCATTTAAATTTTCTATGAAACAACATATTTCCATACTGTGCCGTTACAATGTTCAGTTAAATTTGAAAGACCAAATGTGCAAGGTTAGGTATCTTGTATTTACGTGGGTTTTCCTATACACGGTGATCCCAAAATACCAGTGGCGGCTGGTGGATTTTGCGTATATACGTATATACCGATATGTTGGTTCTTAGAAATGGGACCCACACCAAATTTATAATGACACTAAATTAACAAGTTCTTTTTACATTTAGACTTGTTTTTTAAATTAATTTTTGAGACCACCCTGTATACTTGACATAAAAGTCATCAGATGATCCAAAGAAGATTTAGGGAGATGGTGGATTCTTACTCGAAGGCGAAAGTTAAATTTAAGGCCAATTGAAATTGAAATATATGTTGATTGTAAAGTTCACGGACAAATAAAACTTTCTTTTTTAAAATGTGTTCACTTGAGCATGCTCGCATTGTATTTGCGATGACTAGAGAATATTGATTTTAATAATAAGCAATAACTATACGCTAATGTATAAGAAACGTTCTTTAATTGTAAAATGTTTTAATTGATTTTTTCAATTTTAAAACCTTATGATTATTTCTATAATGTTTGTAACCTATTTATATTATTTCAAATAGACAAACAAACATTTAAACTTGAATTTAAGTAACTTTTTTTATCAAAACTCAAAAATAAGAGAGAAACAGCCTTTCCAAGTTTATTTAAATTTTTATGTTTTATGGCATAAAAACAAAAATGACAAATTTAACAATGTAACGGGTGCGACACTTAAACTGCGTTTTTTCAAGAAAACCGTTTATAACGTCATGAATAGCGTAACGGGCGCGACCTTAGAAAATCGGCAAAGGCGATCAAGTTGGCTTCTAAAGTTGATACTGTAAAATTTTGGATGAAAGCATAAAGTAATAATTTTTTGTGTAAAACTTGAAGTACACAGTAAAAAATATTTCGGTGTAAAGTTACCAAATGGAGTGGTAAAATCATTTGGTGTTAATTTATACACTAAAATTGGTCAAAAATATTAAGTGTTTATTTTAAATTGTGGTAAAATTCATTCGTGTTAATTTAAATTTATTTTACACAGCAACGTGTCAATCTAGTGTTAATTTAAAGATAAACTCGACGCAGTGTACATTTGACACTATTATTTGTTGACAGTTACACACATTGTGGTAAAAAAGTCACGTAGTCATCACCATTCGCTAACGGCAAGGGAGCAATCAGTATTCCGAGTGCAGTTGATGGTAGTGTACCTATGCATGCTATTTTAAGACCATGGTTTTTAAATTAAAATTCAGTGGTCGGGTAAAGTGGTGCAATGTGACAGTGGATGCAACTTATGTTTGTGATATAACATGTTTTTTTACCTGTGAAATATGAAATTTAGTAAAATTTTAAGTTTTTTAAGCTAGTGAAAAATCATATTTAACTTATATACCTATATAAGCTAAATATGGTTTTGCACAAACTGGAATAAACTTAAAATATTAAGTACTACTTTTCATTCAAATAAAAAAAATTATTAATACTTCTTGAGTATAAGAATACACCTAAGTAGTGTTAAACATTTTTTTTTAATTTTATGCCAAAGCCTATTTATATTCATATCTAATAGTTTGTAAGTAATATAAAATATACTTTATTTTACATTACATGCTGTGTTTAATATTAAAACACCCACCATTTTTAACACCTATAAGTAACACCAAAATGTGTTGTAAATTACACCAAATTGAGCATTTTCTACTCTTGAATGGAGTTCTTTTACCAATATTGCGTGTTGCTTTTACCCCTAAGAGTGTATTATATTTGATGATTTTTACACTGTTACGAGTTTTTTGTACGAATAGTACGTGTAGATTTTTAACCAATTAAAAAGGGTAAAATTTACCAAATTGTATGTGGTTAGATATACCATTTCTAGTGTGGACCTATATAGACCACTTTTGGTGTTGTTTTTTACCAGAAATTTTTTACTGTGTAACCTTAAACAAGCACGTATTTTAAATGCACTAAAATTGCATACTTTATTTTTTTAAATTTTCTCAAAATGTATCGGGTGCGACATTTGAACATTTTATCGAGTATTGAAACTCTTCCGTGTTTATTCTTAATGTTAGCTTCTTAGCATCACAATGTTATTTTGTTAAATAACACATCTGATTTTTTCTCAAGTTGGGGTAAGGTTTCGTGGAAAAACCCCAATGCAAAATGTCATCTTTGGAAAAAAAAAACTAGGAATGTGTTCATTTAAAAAATGGGGCTATGTAACATGCCATTTACAACGCCTACCCACACATTAACGGAAAAACGATCTTCGTTCTTCGTGCAATGGCATTGCCATTTCTTCTTCATGACCTTGGAAGCCCTAAAAGAAAACATTGCAATGTTTTCTTTTAGGGCTTCCAAGGTCTGGGGCTCCTTTACATAAAGGCAAACTTCAAATATTTCCAAAGTAGTCAAATCAGACGGGCAACAATAGACATTGTGCTCGCGATATTTCCCGGTTGCTTAATTTTCTTGACTTAAGGAGGTTCAGGCACGATATTAGTAATAGAAACATTGACCGTCTGGTTTTCGAGTAAAAAAAATATTACAAAGGCTGCACAGGAGGTTATCGTTTATTATTGCTAAACTCTGTTGTTAACTTAACGTAAACAAAAATTTATATGCCAATTATACAGGTATAAGTGCATACGAGAAAAAAAATTCATCGATTTCTTAAGTTAATTAAATTCATTTCCTATGCAGCCCAGACATATGTATTTAATTAATGCATATCTTCTAACGTGACAATGAAAAATTAATGATTTTTTTCTCGTATGCACTTGTAGAATTTTTATCAACTCTTACACAGTAAAAAAATATTTGTTAAATTTAACCAATTAATAACCAT